GGTGTAGAGCAATTTGCTTTCACTCACAGTTTGATTGACATCTGATGAATAGCTACTCCCACGTTTCACTTACCTTCCCAGGGGAACAACGTCTTGCTCATCTTCGGAATATTGCAACAAAGAGATATGCAGGTCATCCTAAAGCTAATCAAGTGATCGATTGTCAGACTTACTTGAAGAACAGGTAATAAATGGGGAGTGAAAGTCATGAGCAGCAGAAGCGGCAGGGAAATGCTGACGCAGAAAGGCAAATCAGGAGAAGGCTGGACAGAATATGCTGTGTTTTATTATTCACAAGGGTTTGAGTATGCGAAGTGAAACAGTGAAAACGCTGCAAGTTGGATATACACGAGGAGTTTCATTCAGGATAAGGTTTCAATGAGTGACTTTTGTAGAAAGATGGTGATTCAAGACAATTGAGGGTATTCTAGTGACTGACCTGGGCTTAGTGGAAGGAATGTGGGCACCCAGTAAGCCATTGGCCTGAGGGTGATAAGGGATGCAAGAAACAGAGGGCCTGAATTTGGAAAAAAAAGATCAGCTATAATTAAAATGAGGAAAAATGACTGTTCTGGTCCAACTGTTTGCACCTCTCCAAATTCATATATTAAAATCCTAACTCCCAAGGTAATGATGCTAGGATGTGGAGCCCTTGGGAGGTACTCAAGTCATGAGTCCCCAAAGGAGTAGCCTCCCCTTCTACCCTGTGAAGCAGGAAGGCACCATCTGTGGGCCAGAAGCGACGTCCTCACTGAACACAGAGTCTGCTGACACCTGGACTATAAAATTCCAGAAAGATGAGAAACAAATTTCTCTTTATAAAGCTGACTAGTCTAAAGTATTCTGATTTGGACCAAGGCAATGAGTTGAAGTGTTTTCTTCTCTAAAAGCTGCTTTCCCTATCTCTGGTCACCTCAGAAAAATGTTCAGTACAACTTACATTTTCCCAGCCCTCACCTCTCAGGGCTTGGGACTAGGGCAAGTGAGGTCACCGCAATGCAAATGCTGCCATTTCAGTGACAAGTATCCTTAAAATTCTTCCCCAAGTACTTCTGGGGAGCAGACTGTCTAGAGCAAGTCAACTTTCCTTGGTCTTGCAGCTGCTAAGCCTTACCAAGAACCTGAATGTGCTGCTGTTCCTATTGTCCACTCCAGTCTGGGCCTGAGGATAAGGAAGAAAGAGGAAGTGGGAATGGCTTCCAGATGTGGCTAACTACATACACGTTGTCTTCATTTCCCAAGATAGAAAATATGGGAAAAGGAACAGGTTTCTTGTTGGCCAGACTTCAATTTTGGACATATTGATTTTGAGAAGTTTGTGGAGTATTCAAGTGATGGCAAGTGGTCAGTGTAATAGATGGATCTTATGACCCAGAGCAGGCTGGCAGTAAAGGTTTGAGGGCCATCAACACATAGGTGCTCTGAGACCTGGGCTCAGGTATCAGCCAGGGTCCTGTACAGAGAGGAATGAATTGGAAATTAAAGGACACCAACATTTAAGAGGTGCCCGGAAGAAAATGTTTGCAAAAGAAACTAAGAAGGGTTCATGGCACCAGAAGAATGATATTCAAGAAGTCAAGATTTTTATATTTTTAAGGAGAGAATGAAGATACAGAACTCTGTGATAACCTAAAAGACAAAGTTCATGAAGAACCCAGAACAATGGGATTTGGAGAAATGGTGCATAGCAAAGGGGAGTGTCTCTTCGAAAGAAACAAGAGAATAGGGCGAAAGCAGGCAAATAAATTTGTAAATGTAAACAGGGTTATTATTTTCTTCACTGTAAGAAAAAAAATCCAGACAAATTACCTAACATTGGGTAGAACAAAACTCAGGAAAATAGTGTTTCTCATTCTATTAACCAGCAGGCTGACAATAAAAAGGCAAAGAATTCCAGCAACTTAAGAGATTTTGTTTATGTGGAAATGTAGTTTGATAGGCATAAAAGGCAACATTATCTTGGAGGCACTTAGAAGCTATAGTAATAGGCCTATAAACAAGACTAAGTGGAACCAGCTAATAAACTCAAAACCTACTCTAGGATGAAAAGAACTGCAAGACATGTAAAACTCAAATTACATGGATGCACTGTGAAACAGAATTAGTGTTAATTCTTAAGAAAAATAATATTTCACCAAATAATACATGGATTCAATTTTGTTAAAAAGCATTGGTCACACCTACTGAAATTGTTTTGATTAGAAATGATGCTTACAATTGGATTTCAAATGTGAAGTTGCAATCAAAATAAACACCAAAACAAATTGAAAAGCCCAAGCTCATCTTGGATTTTATATCAAGCAGGAGTTCAGTCTGATAGGACATTTTTAGAAATGTAAATACAAATTTCTCCCCAGGATCAGATAGTTCTCTTCATCAAAAAAATACTTTGTCTTTCTCAAATAAAATGGAGTATTGTCAAAGGATTATTATTTCAAAATCACAAGTATAAATAATCATGATCTGCTTAGTGTAAATTTAATACATATACACTACAATTTTTTGCACAGCATGTCTGAAGAATAAAAAATACATTATATAGCACAAGTAAGAATTAGTTCTGAATTTACAGACATCCAATTAAAAGGACTCAAGGAAAGATAAATACAAGTATTCTGAGACTTAGAGTTACTTTAGGGTTTTGATTTTTGCTAATATCATTTAAGAAAGTGTTTCTCTTAAATAGAAGTTGCCTATTAATTTATCAGGAATAACTTTTCATTGAAAATATTTTTAAATATTTAAAAAATAGGTGTTGGGGAAAAATATTTATAGTCCCTACACCAAGACACAACATTTTGATAAATATCTACCAGGCATCTCTTAGCAATACATAAGCAAACACAATTATGCAGTAGTGGAAATATGCTACACACATTCCATATCTGCTTCTTAAACCTAATATTTGAAATAATAGGCCTTCAATGTCTTCTCCAAGTTAGAAACTAAGGATCTACTTTATCATTATAATAGCTACCTGTTGTTGGATTATATGAATGTATTAGCATTTTAATGATTCAATTGATGAAAATTTAGGTTGTTCCCAATGTTTTACTATGATAAGCAATGCTACAATGAAAATAATTGTGACATGTGCCCTTATAGACATGTCAAGCTCTTTAGAATAAATTGCTATAGTGGAACTAATAGGTTAAAGGAAATCTACATTTTTCATTATAAATTACATTGCATATCTATCTTTCAGGACAGAAACAACTTCATATTCCCCTCAATAGTACAAGTGGCAATCCCTCCTGTTAATGAGGCTGAACACCCTTTCCTTAACGTCATATGAATTATCACTCGTGTCCACTTTTCTTGTGGGATGTTCTTCATTTGCTAATTAAGTTAAAGATTTTTTATGGTTAATAATCTTTACCTATTGTTGGAGATCTTTATCTACTTTACTAACTTTGTTCTTTCATAGTTCAGCCTTTTGAGTAATTGTACAAGTGGCTTTTCACCTTTCAAGATTACAGATGATATTCTACCTTGTCTTTGTTTTATATAGTTTTATTATATTTAAATTTTGGAACTATTTAAACATTTTTACATTAAAAGTGATGTCATATTTTCACTGAAAAGGTAGCTAGTTTGCTTATTTAATGATCTTTTTTTCCTACTGATTTTTATGACCCACAAAATAAGAAGCACTTTGACTTTATTTTGTTCCAGTGATCCATTCTCGCTTGGGGCAAGATGACCACTATGACTCTGGTAACTAACTTCTCAGAAAAATTTTGTATTTGCTGGAACTGGCTCTACCTTATTTCCTTTTCTGAATGTTATGGCAATTTGCCTTTATTCTCCCTAAAAATTCTTTAGAAATACTTTGTCAAGGTTGCTTTGAACTTTTAGAGAATGAACAGAGACTCTTTGTATGAGTCTGACCAAGAATCTTTGAGTATTCCTTTATGTACCCTGGGAGAGTGTTGTAATTTTCTTTCTAAAAGTCCGGTATGTTTCTTATAATTTTGGTTGCTTATATTTCACTGCTTTTTAATTAGTAGTAATAGTAGTGTTTCAATTGTGAATATTTTTCATTAATTTAATTTTTATACATTTATTATATAATCAGCCACCTTTCTGAATTCATTAATTTTTTTACATTTGTCCTCTTGCCTTTTCCAGGTTTTTAATAATGCCAATGCAAATAATGATTCTTCTGTATGTTCCTTTCCAAATCAAATTATGTGAAATTTTAAAACCTTAAAGGATATGCTATATTATCCGTAATATTACAAAACCGATATAATCAGTGAAAAATAGCTCTTTTGTTTAGCTCAGAGAAGTTTTCTTTATTACTGCTTTCATTTGCCGGGGGGGGGGGTGCGGATACAGGGGATCGAACTCAGGACCTTGCGCTTACAAGACAGGCGGCGTGCCACTGAGCTAAATCCCTGGCCCTGCTGCTTTCATTTTTCTGGGATAGTTTTCAAATACACCTATAATCCCAAGGTTGCATTTTCATTTGTTTGTCCTATTGTATTTTTTCTGTGTTTCTTTCTCCTGTGTAGTTTTGGAGAGTTACCAAGTTTATGCACATGGCCAAGTCCATTTTCTGTTATTCTCACTTGCACCTCCTTTGGGAATTTGCATTTGGGCTTCCCATTTGTTGCATATTTCAGGATGCTCCTTTTTATTCCCCCCTTTTCTCTCCATTCACTCTTTCTTTAGGACTAATAAAAATATATAGTTAAAAACTTCATTGTGTAAGGTGGTACACTAAGTACACAGCCATTATCTTACTTAATTCATTTATTTCATACCTACCACCCCGTGTTGATTAGGAAATTAAGGCTCCAAATGATTAAATAATTATTTTAGGATCTCATGGCTGGTCAGTAACAGAGGTAGGATTTAAAGCCAAGTCTTTTGCCTCTCTAACCCATGCTCTTAAGAACTATATCAGAGAATTTCACGTCTCTGGTCCGCTCATCTGTCCCTAAGGGAGCTCCGCTCCTTCCCCATCTATTCCTATAGGGAGGCAATAAAAATACCTTAAATCAGGACGACAGTGTAAGCATCTTCTGGTCCCATTCTTGGATGATCTGGCTTTGCTCCAGTCAGACCACTGTTCTCTGTAGTGTTGAATTCTCTCCAGCATTTCCATCCATATGCAATGTGCTCTGTGGTGACTGCACACCTGTTAGAATTTCATTACTTTAATAAGTTTCTGGGATAATCAGCTCATAAAAAGAAAAGGCTTATTTTGGTTGACAGCTTTGGAAGTTTCAGTCCACAATGAGTAGGGCTGGTTGCTTTTGGGCTTGTAATGAGGCAGTATAACATGGAAGCCCCTTTGTCTCACTGTGGGGAAGTGAAAAAGGAAGAAACTGGTGTACAAAAACACCACTGGAGGACACACCCTCAATGACCTAAGACCTCCCACTAAGCCCTACCTCCTTTAGATTCCACCACCTCTAGGGAAAGTCTAACACTTGGGCTTTGGGGAATATTTCATATCTAAATATAGCAAGACCTAAGGTGTAAAGTTCTTTCTGTTTTCATCTGCAGCTTCTCTGAAAATTGAAACCTACAATTTCTAAAAAGCATATGAAAGCAAAGTTGAAAGAAACCATGACGTGGGCATAGATGTCAACTCCAAAATACTCAGATGATTTCTGAGCAATGAGGAATGTGGTTTTCCATGCAGCATAGCTCCTGTGTCCTGAGTTAAAGACAATGACTAAGTTGAGACTTCTTCCTATTTGCTCTGCAGCTCATTTGGTTCAGTGAATCCAGTGATTAATACTGGAATTAGAAATTTCCAATGGATTTTGGCCGAGGGTCTCCTTTTCATTAAAATTTATTTTTGTACCGGGAATGGAACTCAGGCCCTCTCACTTGGCAGGCAGGTGCTGTGCCACTGAGCTATATCCCCGGCCTACTTTATTGTATTATTGCAGTCTTCATGGGTATTTTCACATGAAGTTGAGAATGAATAAATCAGGGACTGCTGATTGGTGGGCATGTTCAGCCGTATCACACAATAGTTTTGGGATCAGGATTAGACTGACTCTTTTTTTTTTTTGGTACCGGGGATTGAACTCGGGTCCTTGCGCTTTTGAGGCAGGCGCTGGAACGACTGAGCTAAATCCCTGGCCCTAGACTGACTCTTAAATATACATGGACTGTCCTCATATGATGTACAGGTCACACCTAGGTTTCTGGCATATATTTCCCGGTCCCTTTCCTTGGAGATAGGAAGTTCTCATAATGAGCCCTATGGGATAGTATATTTGTCATAGGACAATTTTAAAATGACACTTTTTAAAAACACAGTACTAAAAATCATTAACATTAGAAAGAGATACTAAGGATTGAGCTGAGGTGTTTTCTTGTCTGTAAAATGTGGCTGAGGAGGCTGAGAGAGCCAGGTCGAAGTGACCGGATAGGTTATGCTGTTCTTGGGAGTTATTTTGCTCAGAAAAGTCTTTGTGAATTTTGGAAGCCTCCTGGCACACATATAATCTGTGCTTTAGTAATGCAGTTAAGACATTATAAAATACTGTCTGATTTGCCCCCTTCCAAAAACACCCCACGCATTTGTTACCTCTGTGGCCAAAGCTATTATGCAATAGAGAGCTAAAAACACATTTGAAATATTAAATGTATAACTGGAAATTCCAGTTAGTAGTTAAGTATCTGCCTTCTGTGTCCCTGTCGCTCCTAATAATGGCAGGTGATATGTTTCAATATAAAGTCATCATGTTTTATTTATATGTTTACATAAAATTATGTTCAATGTAAGGAAATTTCTCTCAATGCTACACATAGGCCTCATCCAATTAGTTGAAAACTTTGAGTTAAAACTAAGGTTTCCCAGAGACATGGAAATCCTGTCCTTAATTTGCCACAACTGCATGAGTGAATGTCTTCAAATAAATCTCCTAATATA